TGTTTAAAGGAAGAACAGATCCGGATTGTTCACACGCGAATTACAAGTGTGGTCTTCCACATGGCATCGCGTCAGTGTGCCTTGCCACGTGGCATCACGCCAGCGTGCCTTGCCACGTGGCATCACGCCAGCGTGCCTTGCCACGCGGCGTGCTCTGGTTCGTCGGGGCTGTTGACTGAGCGTCCTACGTGGCACATTTTTCTTAAATTATATTTTGACCTCCAGCTTCTGATTTTTATTTCAAAAACACTCCAGAAACCAAACTTTCACCCATTTTTTTTAAAATTATTTTCAATTTCATCATCAACCTATTTTTCTTCATTTTCATATTAAATAAAAATTCAAAAATTTAAAAATTATATTTATACATTAATTTTAAATATATTAAAATTAATTCAAGGGTATTACAAAATTAATTTAAGAATTAGATAGTATTTAAGCATTAGAAAGAAAAAAAAAATAATATAAGGATTTTACTTGAAACACGTGGCTACATGAACTCATTCGCGTTTGATCGTCATGAAGGTGATAGAAAGCATTGTGCACGACAATGCATGCTTGTGGATAACTATTGGTGACTAGCAATTGTAGGGAGCAGCAACTTGTTCTAGGGCCAACTATGAAGGTTGGCTAGTGGTGGAAGTGGTCGATCTTGCGAAGGGTAGTGGCTGGCTATGAAGTGTGACCCCTTTTAGGCTCTTTTATATTAGCAATAAAAACCGAATAAGGTTTGTAAAAGAATTTAAATATTACTTAACCTAAAATTTTAATATTACATTTAGAATGATTTTTTTATTTATGTATTCTATTCAATATTAAAGCTCTATATATGCAAGTTTTCTAAGATTAAAAAAGAAATAGATATTTAATTACAATTGTACATTTTAATTTGATTTAACTTTTCTCTAATAGTATTTATTTTCTTTCTAACACTCTGATTTACTTCTTTTTTAGTATCATAGTTGTTTTTCTCTTTAATAACATTGAAAACAAATAGGGACATGTGATTAGGACACATGGTGAATTTTCATCATAAATATTATTTTCTCTATATTTTCTTTTAAAATTTTTTAATAAATTATAATTACATCTAGTAGTAAAAATAATGTGAAAATTATATATAACAAATGTATACAACATAAAATATATGGACTATTGTAAAGAATAAAAATATTTATTTTTAATCCTCTACGTAATATTTAAGATTTTTGAAATTTGCAAATATATTATATGAATTTAATAATATATTTTTAGTAAGAAAAATAATATTAACTAAGAATAAACTAAAAATAAAACAATTAAAATAATAGAAAAAAAATCCTCTAAAATTTTAAGACTAAAAATTTTAAAAATGTAACTAAATAGTTCTTATCTATTGAGAATTTATATCTTACTTTTACGTATATAAACATATGTTCATGACTGAATTTTTAAATACAACATGTAAAATTATAAGTTCATATAAGAAGAAATTTAAACCACAAAAATTGAATTGTGGGAAAAACCATGTATTTGAATCAAAATTAAATAATTATAATCATGTTCTACAATTACCTTAATTATAAATTTAACTCAATAAATATCCCATGAAGTGAAGAGTGCTGATGAGTGCATACCCCAATATGTATATGTAATACCCCTAATTAAATTTAGTACAATTAAATTTAATGTATAAATACAATCTTTTAATTTTTGAATTTTTGTTTAATGAAAAAAATGAAGAAAAATAAGTGGATGATGAAATTAAAAATAATTTTGGAAAAAATGGATGAAAATTTGGGTTCTAAGGATGTTTTTGAAAAAAAAATTAAAAATTAAGAGTCAAAATGTAATTTAAAGAAATTGTACCACGTAGGACGCTCAGTTAACAGCGCCGACGAACCGGAGCGCGTTGTGTGGCAAGACACGCAGACTCGGTGACATGCGAGAGGCGACACTGGCGATCCGCGTGCTCGCGACAGAACGGTTCGGATTTGTTCCCGCACGCATGGACGGTGTGGATCCGTTCTCCCTTTAAACGCGATTGGACAGTTTAGATCAAATCGCGATGAACGGTCCATATTCACTCTCTATTTAAATGCAATCAGACGATGTAGATCAAATCATGATGAACGGTCCAGATTCACTCCCTATTTAAATGCGATGGACAACCTAGATTAAAAAGAGATAGATATAAATAACCCTCTTCACACCAAACTCTAACTATAACCGCCAGATCCCCCCTTCCCCCCGACGGAGAAGAAGAGCAAGTCGCTGAGAAGGGAGTCGACCGCCGCCTACTACCGCACCGGAGTCACTTCTAACCGCCAAAAGATGTAAAATTTTTCTCATTCGCTCGAAATTCAATTTTGAACACCCTCATTGCCAAATTGGAGTAAAAGGACTAGCTGATGAACCGAAAATCACGGGTAAAGTCCGGCGGTGCCGCCGCAGAAAAACATAAAAACTGCTCCGATGAGGCCCTTCCCGACTCCTGTTTCGTATAATTTTTCCACCATTATAATCACCATCCCTTTCTCTACAGGTTGACCGAAGCAAAACACCCAACTGCGAAGGTGAACCGGCAGAGCCGCCGCGCCGAAGAACCCGCCATTTGTAAGCTTCATTTTTTAAACTTTTTTTGGCCAACTAATGCCCCTTAACGTGTTTTTTCGCATGGATTGGTACAAAATTGACCGAAATGGACCAAAAACGGTCGAAAATAGCGAACCTGAGGTAAATCGCCGCCATGGGCGGCGGTGTCGTCATTGGAGCACAGCTGTGCTGCCATGCCAAAATTTCAAAATCTTCCAAAAAGAGCTTCTAATACTGATTTTGGATTTTTTGGGGTATTTATAGGTGTTTGAAGCGTATTTTAATCTCCAAAGAAAAATTTAAGAAAACCGGAGACTGCCAGTAGGCGCAGTAAAAAAAAATTAGCGTTCGGACACTAATTCGAGTAAGAATCTCTCACTTTATTCCTTGTTATGCAATTAAAATTTAATTTTAAATAATATGGTATTTTGTGAAACTTAGAAAATATTCGTAATTAATTATAAGTTACTAATGGAGCCGGAACCGGTTACTTATTATTGTTTGCTACATTTAACTGATTGCCTGATTTTACAGTTTTCAAATGCATGATAATACACTGAAATTGGTATGATAATGTGATTGTATTTTCTTTATGCAGTAAATGATTTTATTCATGATAAACGAATTTACTTAAATTAAGATCTTCATTAGTTATTTTTATGATTTTTACCAACCTTCATTTTTGTGTCGGTGAGTAGTGTGATATTCTTACTGGGTTAGTGTAGCTCATTCCTTCATTAACCATTTCATATCAAGAGGACTAAGATCCAGAGCTCGATCCACAAGAGGGTTGCGAGTAGGATGCCCAGTTGTTTATTTTCTATTTATTTCTTTAATTTTTCGTTATTTCTTTTAAAAGGGTCATTCTCGTAACTCTATTGGATAATCTGAATTATTGTGTAAGGAATGTAAATCATAACTATTTATTTCGTTTCAGCACTGAATTTATAATTTATCTCATTTAGAATTCACGGACTATTTCAATATAACTAAACATGAAACTTACTACTAGAAACTTCCAATACTAAGTTGCGTACTTACTAGACAGGTTATCATAACCTTATAGTTACAACTATTGAGCCATTCAACATCCCAAAAGGAAAAAAGAAAAACCCAATGGTACATCTGCACATAAAATACAGTGTCACTGATTCAAGGAGGCATCAACCACAAAACTGAATTACAGTATGACAAGTATAGGTCTCTCTTGTAGTTCACATTAATGCTAGATAGAAACCTTATTATAGCCCGTCCAACTCCATAACACTAGAGACAACAATTCCTAGACTATTTCCCATCAACCAAAATAACATCCACAATTTGGTGATCCACGTAAGCATTTATGTTTTCCAATTGGTGCACTACTACTCTCAGGCTAATTTGCAGTCTCAGTTCCATAATCATATGTCAACTTTGTCAGGGGAGGAATGTGCTTTATGGAAAAGAAAGCAATATGGACAAATGATTCATTATTATGTTTATAAACAACTAACTGCCAGAAAAGGTTTGGGTTGCAACTATGGTTCATGAATCGAGCAATATTCCCAACATTCTTCGCACTTATTTTAAGGGGCGATGGACCATCTAAATCCTTAGTACTATCATCAGAATTATCTTCTTTTATTAACAAATGTTCATAATTCCACTTCAACTTACCATAAGAACGGGATGAATAAAAAATATAGTCATCATCATCCCCATATTGTCTTACCTTTTCTCCGTCTATGACTTCACCTGCATATTCACAAATAAAGGTAGCAACACGAATAACATCATGATGGCAGGCTCCAGCCCTTATCCTTTGTTTTAAAAATTTCCAGGTAAACATTTATACCCGTTTAAGAAACTTGGTTCTTGCAGTTCGGGAAATAAGGACATAGGGACTGCATTCACATACCAATGGCTTGCTACTTACTAGAACCCCATTGGCAATATAAGGGAAGTCACCTCCATTTTTCTGAATGCAAGAATAGTTTAAATTTCCTTGCTGACATGCACTATGACAATTGCAACCATATGAAGGTTTTGTCAATTTGAATGATCTTGAATATTTGACTGTCTAGTAATAGGTAAAATAAATAGGCCTCTTCTCATCATCAACGTCATTTACAAGTGAAACAGGTAAGGAAAAATGAGGTGAGGTCAGGAAAAATGAGTCCATTCCTCGTAAACAAACCTTTATTCCATTTCATAATTGATTTCCATACAGCATAAGCACTCAGTTGCCCAAGTGATTTGAACAATTTATATTTGAATGTATTGCGTCCAAATTTCCCTCTCTTTGTCCATGACTCCTTGATTGAATAAAGTCCATTATAGACATATACCTTAATTGTTATATTAACAATAGTTATGCCTCGAATGACTCTCATAAGATTTTCTCGTTGCAAGCTCCTCTCTAGTGCAAGATTACCCTTTTTAAGCTTCTAATCAGATGTTTGCCCATCTTTCTTATTTGTATTTCCACCTTGACCACTATAAATTAAGACATCAGTATCCTCTGCATCATCATCATACCCACCGGATAAAACAATGTTGATTGCAATTGGCTCTTCTGATGATTCTGCTTTGGGAACCATATAGTCAATGCCACCCATGGTCTGTGAATGTAGACCCACCAAACATATCTCCATCTGAAAAAAAAAAAAAATTTGTATCTAACCTCCACTCCAGGAACAATCCCAATTGTCTTCTTCATATTTGTTCTCACCCCTTTGCCCATCAATATATTGGATGCTTTCAAGTCAGCACGCCTAAGTAAACCCACAAGTGCCTCCTTTACTTTTTCTAGTTGACTAAGCCTCCTTCTAACTACATCAAATCTCATGAGCACATTATTAACCACTTCTATGTTACCATCATCTCGTTCAGATGAACTGATCCCACTATCAAAATCCACAGCAGACACTTTTTCTTTAAAAGTAGACATAGAAACAGCACGGTTTCTCTTCTCATTTCCTCTCTTCTTTAAGGAACTTGCACCCCCCAAATGAGACTGTGGTGTTCGAAATGCCTGGAGGGGAATGGGAAATTGAAGAGTCGAAGTCTGGGTTTCATTAAGATCTGGGGTGGTTTGGGCGAATTCAGGTGCATTAAAAGGGTAAAACGGTAAAAATCCTGATGAAAATAGACCAAAAGGAGGAGTGCACATAAAAGGGGGAAGCTTGAGATTTAATAGGGAATACAGGCATCAAACACCGCAGTGGTTTAACATCCAAAACTCTGTTTTTGTCAAAGTGATTCGAAGGAGGAACAACATTGACACCTGAACCTACATTCCATTAGTAAGCTCCTTGAATTGATAAAGCCAAATCCTGCAAACCTAATCCCCCTTTACAAGCTCAAGAGACCAAATAATACCTCCAGGTATTCCTTCATGCTACACAAACTAAAGAGACTCTAAACTATCTATTTAAATTGTAACACCTGCACCATCCGTCATAGATCAAGAGTTTAATCCTTAAACAACTATTCTGCAACATAAAATTGAAAATAAAAAAGAAAAAAAAGCAAAACATAAGCCAACAAAGAAGTCAAATATTTGTTCAAGCTAGACTCCTACAAGTACAAAATGGGAGCTTAGATTCTAAAGTGGGTTTAGCCGAACGATCAATCAAATGAGCCATAAGAGCTTATAGTTTTGAATTCTAAGGCTATTTTACCATGTTTTGTGGTAATTTATAAAGTTGCTTAAAGGCACTCTCAGATAGTAGCTCAAAATGTGCTTATATTCCAATTGAAAAGTCCAAGACTATTACTTTACGTTACTTCTTTAAACATGTACTTAAATTACATGTAATTCTCAAAAGCTTGTAACAAGTTTAAGAGACCTCAGACTTATATCTTGCTTGAATATTACATTCTACCATGTCAATGTCTTGTCTGCACAACTTTCAACAAATTCACTTGTATCATCCAAATTAAAATTACCATAATCATGGTTTTTCCACTTTCACATTCCAAATCGGTCTGCGATAAATTGTCACCATATTTGTCATAAACACTTCAGTAGCAGACAATGTTCTGTCACCCTCTTCTTTCGGAAAATACAAATGCCATATATTTACAGGTTTCCATATCAAGTCAATGAAGAGCTTAGCTCAAAAGTTTTGAAGTGAGCTTGTCCTTTGCAGTCTAATCTTCCAGCAGTCAAGTTGGAATATGAAGACAGAAAATCTTTTAGGAACAGCTGCAAACAACAAAACAGTCAAATATATCATTGAATATTTGCACATACTTTAAATCACACTTAACTAAACTTGATGTTTTCATCAGGTAACATGTAGAATGTTGGGGGGAAACGAAACTGTGTGTGGAGTTTTGTTGGGGAGGGGGGGCTGTGGCTCAACAGCTAATGTGTAGAACGTTAAAATTTATGTGTGGAAGAGGCGGTAGAGGAGCATATAATCCATCATCATAATCTATTCTTCACAAAGAAAAAGGATCTCCAATAAGTACAATTAAATTGAAGTTGAATTAAACTATAACTTGAAAAAGACGAGCTGTGTAAGGCATAATTTACTGTTCACAAAGGAAAAGGTAATAGAAGACGTATACTCAACATAATTGAATTTAAGTTATATCTTAAAAAATCAATCATCACTCAACTGAATGGTTGATATACAACTCTTCTTTTATAAGAGATTATTAATCTGAGTTTAATTGTGTTCTCATATATTCTCATCTAGAGGTTATATTATGTTGTGCTTATAACTGGTATTTATATATCACCTAACTGACAAATGGATGAATTTCTATTTAAGAAAAATTATAGCTTAAAAATGATAACTTACGAAAGAAGCTACTATCTCTAATAGTTATTCTAAATGCTTCTACAGCCTCACAGAACATCATACTACTCATTCTAGTGAAAATATTTATCTTTCATAGCAACTACAAGAAATATTTAGAAAAAATGAGAAACCATAACTAATCACAAAGTAATTTTACAACATTGAAAGGTCTTGTTATAAATGTAACTGGTGTTTTTACTCATAGATTGAGATCATAGTTGCACACGAGCGAATATTTTAATAAAGACAAAGAGTCAAAAAGGTTAAAAAAGAATATCAGCTTTAATTCAATCGCGTCAAATTAATTCGTAACTTCTCATTCAACTGTATAAAAATTATATATGATGTTCATTTGGAACCTATGATTCATAATGCAAAAGAACATACTCATACCTCGAATCTAGCACCACATATATCAATATTGAGAAGACACTAAGCTAATAGATTTTTCCTACAAAATTGAATAAATGACTATCACATCCGAACATCAAATTAACAATGAAACCATACTTAATACAAACATAAAAAATAAAATCTTTAATTAAGAAGTTGATAAAATTAAAAGAATAGCTCACCCTATGACTTTAAGAAGTTGCGTTATATAGTTCCTCTACATACCACGTATAGGGTTAAAGTTATCGAACTTATACACCAAAACATGCACACACAAAAATCTTAATATAATTTAAACCAGCATCGCTCAGTAATCATTTAAGAGAACATCTAAACTTAATTTTCTCATTCTATTAGGACAACCAACGATATAGTTTTAACACAATTAACATGCCAGTTTTCAAAAACATAAGAGAAATAAGACAAAAAAAATCGATTAATGATATTTTTAGTCTAATTTACTATACTAAATTAAAAAAAAATCATGCTTAATTTTTTAATAAGTTATTAAAAACATAAATGCATTTTTAAAGTTTAGATAAATTAAATTACAAAATTTTAAGGGGGGAGCTTGAGATTTCGTAGGGAATACAGACATCAAACATCGCAGTGGTTTAACATCCAAAACTTTGTTTTTGTTAAAGTGATTCGAAGGAGGAACAACATTGACACCTGAACCTCCTTTCATTAGTGAGCTCCTTGAATTGAAAATACTAGATCCTCTAAACCTAATCCCCCTTTACAAGCTCAAGAGACCAAATAATACCTACAGGTTTTCCTTCATGCTACGCAAACTAAAGAGGCTCTAAACTATCTATTTAAATTGCAAGACCTACACAATCCATTACAGATCAAGAGTTTAATCCTTAAACTGTTTTTTTACAACATAAAATTGAAAAAAAAAAAAGTAAAGCAGAAACCAAAAAAGAAGTCAAATATCTGTTCAGACAACTACAAGTTAATCTGAGCCGAACATGAAACACCAAGCAAAATCACACATTCGTAGAGAGAAATAACGATATTGAAATCCATCTGTTATCTGAATGAGATAAAATTTTATTATTTTTTTCATGTTTGGGTACAAAGAATTTGAAGTTGTAAAGATACATAACATAATATCAAAACTAACCAGTTAATATAAAATACTTAACAAATAAATAAAGTATTTTTAAAGTTTAGAGAAACAAGATCAAATCGAATTAAATTACAAAATTTTAACTTATATTTTTTTAAAAAAATTAAAAAATTCTATTAAAATTTTAATTATTATTATTTAAAAAGAAGAAAGTGCTTGTATTTTATAACTTTGCAAATTTATTTTGTGAAATTTACAAGTATTTTGATTCAACATTTAGCTTTCAATCTCCATCAATAGTTAAAGAAGATTGAGAAAATGAAAGATGAGCAAGGAAAGAGAATGAGAGATGACATGAGAAATAGAAACATAGTTATATTTGTATTTTTCATTTAAAAATTTATGGGTTTTATATAGCATTTGTTAACTTTAATGATAAAAATATCATATGTTTTTCAATATGATCTCCAAAATATGCTGAAGACAAAGTTATGTTCTTATTTTTTTTAAACTATAATTTTAAAAATATAATAATATTTTTACAAGTTGCTTTTAAATATATAATTAAATTAATAAAATACTACAACAATTTTATTTTATTTTATTTTTCTTTCTATCCTCCTCTTCCATCTCCTCTCGTTCCAATGAACAAAAAAACCTAAACACCAAATTTTCCCTTCTGCTATTTCTTCTCTACTCCCACGAGCAGCGAATTCGCCATTTTCCGACGTCTGCCTAAACAGAAAAAGTGAAAAGCTCCATCCGCTTATCTTTTCCCACCAGAGCCGCCTCCACCATCTTCGTAAAACAAATCCGAAAAATAACCCCCTTCTTCTTATCTCACAGAGATTTCTTCTCTTCTCTCACTCTCTCGCTGGAGTCTCTCCCTTGCCAGAGTCTCCTCTTTTTTTTCCATCTCATTTCACGTCTCTTCTCATCTTGTATTCTCTCCTTTGGCCTTTCTTGTATCTGCTCCGTTCCCCAAGCGACACCTTGGTATTCTGTCTTCAAGCAAGCCAGAAGCAAGCATACGTTTGTGGAAACTACGAGGGCTAACGCTGCTCCTCTCCTCACTGATTCTTGAGCGTCGCCATAAACCCACGATACAGGCTATTTGTTCTTCAAGCTCGGATCTCTCTTTTTTCATTTTTTCTTTTTTTCTTTTTTTCCCTTAGCAGATGCTGTACCGAAAGCTAGACTGGCGTTGCTGTGATTAGCCCTTCAATATTTTTTTTCTCGAGCAGGTAATGTTTTCACTCTCTCAAATCCCTCTGTTCTGATGCATACATGTTTAATGCTATCCAGATGGTTTAGAGACTGGGTATGGAACTTTTGGTCTGTGTCCGCCTCTCCTCGTTCTTTTTTCCCCTTTATACATTTGTTTTCGGTCCCTATGAATCTAAACAGAAATATATACGTACAAAGACGACTTTTCATTCATAATTTTTTCCCTAGACGGTTACGGGGATGTATCATCTCCTAACTTGCGTCTCTATATGAGCTTTGAAGATTATCTGTATTCATTTTTCGTTAGGACTTGCATTTGATTTTCATAGATTTGGGTGTCCGTTTGTGTTGATGTGTGCTTTGTAAATGAGAAATTATGTTGTTTTTGTAACTGAAAGATGACGGATATTGACCTTTGTGTGAGTCCGCCTCATGCTACGTCTTGAGTTGAGTTGATTGACAATAAACGTCTTGAGGTAAGATGAAATTTGTTTCTCTGCTGTTTTAGTGTGGCAATCTGGTTTTTGTTCTGGTTAGCATTCTTAAAAAAAACTTTGTATTCTATTGGATAAAAGAACAGAAAGTTTGTTCTGAGGATGCTTGTTCAAAATTTTCATTGGAGTTTAATTTTATCTGAAAACTTCTGATATGCCTAAAGAAAAGGGGAAGAGAGGAAATATTTTATTATGAATGAATTGATTGGCTTGTTAAATTTTGGTTAATTGTTTGCTTAAGTTTGTCCAATATCTTGACTATCCAGTTACTTTCTCTTTATTATCATCAGTTTTTGTGCCCTAAAGAAGCATCACAGATCGGGTCGCATCAGTTGCTCCGTTTGGGTTGCACCAGCTTTTTGCGCACATCAGTTTCTGGTTTCTGCCGTTCAGTTTCCTCCACTGTGCGCTCTCAGCCTTCCTAGCTGCGCGATTGTCGCACCTTCTCCTCTTTGGTTGCAACCAGGTCTGATTCTCTCAGCCTTTTCTGGTTGCAGAACCCGTACTCGCCGGAACCCTGTCCTCAGTTGGAGTTCTGCATCGACACAGCACTGGTACTCGCGGGTGTTGGTTATCTGCTCCATCATCATCTAAAGTTGCTGAAACTAAATGGTAAGGAAACATTATTCTCAAAACCGATAGCTGCGTTAGCCTTAAGTTTGGGTCTGGTTTTGTTTTCTGAATTTTATAATCAGATTATTTCAAATAAACAAGTTCAGATTTCCATTTCAATGGGTTCATATGAGATTTTTTCTGTTTGACTTAATTGGCTATCATTGACTGCTGTCTAATTGTTTCTATAACATGATGTTTTAGGTTAGCTGGGTTGCTATGCGGAATTGCATAGCTTGTATTTTTCTTTTTGGGTTTTGAGATCTCCTATTTCCTGTTTGGACTTTAGTTCTTTTATATATGTTTTTGGTGGATCATGTTCTGCTTACCTTTGAAATTATTGTTAATTTTGATTAAAATTTTGATAAATAGTGATAAGTCACTTTTAATCACGGGTAGTCCAGTGATTCTGATGAGGGTGAAAATAAATCTTTTTTAATCATGGGTAGTACAGTCTCCCTGAAGGCTAGGATGGGGAGGGTGAAAAATCCTTATTGGGCATTTGTAGTTGGAATGGGGATGTGGGTTGGGGAAGGAGAGTGTATCATTGAAAAGATTATTTTAATTTTGATTATGTTCCATTTACCTTTGAAAAGATCGTTAATTTTAATTGAACTTTAATCAATGTTGAAAAAAAAGAATTCATTTGAATCAAGGATGGGGAGGAAGAAAAATTTGTGTTGGGCATTTGAGGACAGATCGGGTACACGAGGGTGGTTGGGAAAGGGAGTGTACCTTGGAAAAGATTATGTTAATTTTGGCTATGTTCAATTTACCTTTGAAATGATTGTAAATTCATATTAAATTTTCATAAATGTTGAAGAGAATTTCTTTTCTTGAATCAGTAATCTAGTCTCCCTGGGGGTAAGGATGGGGAGGGAGAAAATTCCATTTTGGCCATTTGGGGTTGGATCAGGGCACAGGGATGTTGGAGAGGGGGATTATATACCTTTGGGAAGATTATATTAGTTTTGACTATGTTCCAATTTTCCTTTGAAAAAGCTTATTAATTTTGATTGGATTTTGATAAATGTTGTAAAAAGTCCTATTTGTTAAGTCATGGATATTTCAATGTGCCTGTGAGCAAGGATGGGGAGGGAGAGAAATCCCTCTTGGGCATTTGGGGTCGTACCTGGGATACTAGGTGGTTGGGGAAGGAGATTGTAGCTTTTACAAATCTGCCCATTGTCCTCGGTCTATTTTACACCAAATCCATTAAAAGGAAAATTAGCCCGAATCTTTCCTACATTAGTCTTCAGCGTTTGTATGTATTTGTTTTTTTCTTTCCTTTGTATTAATGTTTGCCAGCAAAATGCCAGCGATCCTCTATGATTTTTAGAGTTGCTCTTTGTTAACTTTCTCAATGTCTATCATACCTATGTTGCTTTGACTAAGTTGGTGCTAATTAATTGAAGTTTAAGTGCAATCTTGCATCAGGCTTCACCATTTGTAGCAGGACTTGCTGTTGCAGCTGCTGCTTATGCTGGTAAATATGGCATCCAGGCTTGGCAGGCATTCAAGGCAAGACCACCAACAGCCAGAATTCGCAAGTTTTATGAAGGTGGTTTTCAACCAACGATGACAAGAAGAGAAGCGGCTCTAATACTTGGAGTCAGGTATGGTTTACTTGTTACCTCCACCCCCTGCTACTTGGAAAACGAGTCATCTCCGTTTCTTCTCCAACCACTGATTTTATTACTTTATTGGTAATTTAATTGGAGTATGCGGTGTTCAAAACAATTATCTTCAATAACATTTTCGATGACTGAAGGTTTGCCTTAGCCTTAGTCCAAAGATGTTACTTCTTGTGTGATGGGAATAAATCTAGTTTGTTGGGGTTGAATGGCTTATGAAGTATTAATCGTGCAATTCAATAGTAAAAAATATGGAACAATAGTCTTTGGGACCATTGGATGTTAAAAGGCACTTTTCGGACCATCGGATGTTAAGGACACATTTCAAGCTGTTTAAGAGCTGGCTGAGCTTGTTCTTCTGGATTCCATGTTCATATCATATAAACTAACTCCAACATTTTTATGTGAATGGAATCTTTCATTTTACACAGTTTGCATCTCATGTTTTCTATAAATCTTCTCTCCTGTGTTCGAGAAATCTTGGGATTTTTTATGGTTCTGTTAAAAACATTGAGCTGTAAGGTTTAGTTTTCAGGTGTTTTGAAAACAAAATGGCACACTGATTTTATCAAATAATTTTGCTTCCTTCCTTTCCTTCACTATCTTAGAATTGACCTTTCTAAGATTGTCAAGGGGGCTAAACCTTCTACATGGATCCCATGTATAGCAAATTAGTTCTTTTGAGCTCCAATTAGTGGTTTGAAGAATTGAGTTTCTGCAACATGATTTTTAGCCATAGAATTTGTCATTGTTGGCCATTGTTTTTGTAGAAATATTAGGAATAAGCTATATTAACTGTTATTGCTTTCTGTTATTTTATTCTTGTTAGACGATCAAGCAATGCTAGCTGTCATTTAGTATAAAAAGATTGTTAATTTGTTTTATTTTTTCTTTCTGTTTTGCCTATAAAATGAGGCACAAAACTATTGATGAAATAAGATGAAAAAAGGAGTTTTCCTACTTTCAAAATCTTCATGGTATCAGAGCATATCTGATCCAAATTCTTCAGCATCCCTCTTGCATTAAATAGGCAGTGGATGAACAAATTTCCTCTCCACCTGAAGTCCTTGCGGGCTCCTATCTTCTGGTGCCTGACAACCGTACTCTCACTGATCCAGCTCCTTCTTTCGTTACTAGCCATCGACTAAATAGCAGTAACTATCTACAATGGTCGTCCTTGGTGTTAATGCTCATCCGAGGGAAAGGATGTGACGAATACCTCAGTGGAGAACTCTCACCACCTCGCGCGAATGATCCAAATGCTCGGGTATGAAAAGTAGAGAACAATCTTGTTATGTCTTGATTGGTGAATTCAATGACCACCGAGATTGGAGAAAATTTTCTCCTTTATGAGACTGCACATGATATCTGGGTCGCGGCCCGTGAGTTCTACTCCACTCATGACAACACTTCCGCCATCTTCGAAGTCGAAGCAAGTCTTCACGACCTGCGTCAAGGAGAAAAGACGGTAACCCAATATTACAATTTTCTTACCCGAAAATGGCAGCAGCTTGACGCTTTTGAAGAACATGCTTGGAGCTGTCCAGAGGACGCCAGGAGATTCCGAAGCATCGTGGAACAAAAACGAATATTCAAATTTCTTTTCGGATTGAACAAATACCTCGACGAGGTAAGAGGACGCTTCCTTGGAGCCAAACCTCTTCTGAACATCAGAGAGGTGTTCTTTGAGGTGCGACGCGAAGAAAGCAGGAAGAATGTGATGATGGGTTAATCGCAACTCAGCCCTAACCTTGCTGAAAGTAGTTCTCTCTCACCTGAGGCTGGTGTAGCTCTCACAAGTCGGGTGACTGAACGAAAGAGACGGCTATGGTGCGAATACCGTAAAAAAACCTGGGCACATTTGTGGAAGATGCTGGAAGCTTCACAGAAAGCCAGCTGAAAAGAAGTCACCAAAGCAGGAGACTCATCGGGGCAATTTTATCTCAACTGAGGAGGAATCAGCTGCAACCGTTCCTACCGAAAGTCTATTTAGTCCTGAACAGATCAACCTCCTTCAGAAAATGTTTTCTTCCAATATGGTTCTTGGTAATGCTTCCACAGCTCACAAAGGTAATTTTTCTGGTCTCTCAACTTATTTCTCAAAAAACGGCATATGGATTATTGACTCGGGTGCTTCCGACCATATGACTGGAGATATCTCACTATTTAAGGAATACAGTAAATGCAGAGGTAAATTCTCAGTTAAAATTGCTGATGGCTCCAGTTCCCAAGTCGAAGGAACAAGAATAATTACACTATCACCCAAACTAATTTTGTATTCTGTGTTATACGTTCCAAATTTGGATTGCAATCTCCTGTCAATAAGCAAACTATCACAGGACTTGAATTATGTAGTTACATTTAACTCTAAACTGTGTGAATTTTAGGACTTGGACTCAGGGAAGACGATTGGTAATGCTCTAGTATGGATTCAGGTCTTTATCTACTGCAAGTTGACAACTCTTCTCTTAGTAGACAAACTCATCATACAGTATGTACCAATTCTGAATCTGTAAATAACTTAAATAGGGAATGCTCCATCATGTTATGGCATTACCATTTACGACATTCTAATTTCTTGTATTTGAAAAAGCTATTTTCTACTTTCTTGTACTTGAAAAAGCTATTTTCTACTTTTTTTTGAAATAAAAATTCAATTTTCTTTTAGTGTGAAGTATGTCAACTGTTCAAACATATTCAAAATTCATTTCCTAGTTCAATTTACAAACCCACAAAACATTTTCATTAATTCATAGTGATGTATGGGGTCCCTCTCGGGTTACTAATATCACTGGGACAAAATGGTTTGTATCCTTTGTTGATGACAACACTAGAATCACTTGGATTTTTCTCATGAAAAAAAAAATCTGAAGTTGGCCAAATTTTTTAAAAATTTCATACTATGATTCAAAATTAATTTCACACTAAAATTTAAGTATTGAGATCAGACAATAGATGTGAATACTTTGAAACCACTTTGAGACAATATTTTTCTGACCATGGCATTATTCATCAAAGTTCCTGTGTTAATACCCCACAACGAAATGACGTCGCCTAACGAAAAAATAGATACATTCTTGAAGTAACCCGATCAATCATGTTCACTACCCATGTTCCAAAATTTCTTTGGAGAGAGGCTGTTTTCACCGCTGCATACTTGATAAACTGCATGCCCTCCCGAACTCTTGTATTTCAAACACCGTATGATACACTTTTAAAGGCCTTTCCACAATCTCATATCCTTCATACTCTTCTCTACAAAATTTTTGGTTGTTCAAGTTATGTCCATGTTCATACTCACCTCAGAGGTAAACTTGACCCAATGGCCATTAAATGTGTTTTTATTGGATATTCACCAAATCAAAAAGGATACAAATGTTTTTATCCCAGGACCCGTCGTTTCTACAACACTATGCATGTTACTTTATTTGAAAATCAGTCATTCTATCCCACTACTATATTCAGGGGGGACAACATTAATCAGGAATATCAAGTATGGGATATAAGTATACCACCTTTCACCTCTCTTCCCCAATCTATTCCCGAGTCCTCATCAAATTTTCCTGAAACTAGTATCAAAGAGTCTGAACCTGAACCTATACCTATTACTATCAACAAAGAGTTACGTGTCTATATTAGGAGAAGCAAAACTCCAGTTGATAAAGATTCTGAACCAACTATACATTGCCATGAGTCTATTTCAGTTCTGAGCAATAAGGACACATCAGGTAATGAGTTTTCAGGCACAATTTCTGATATTGTTACTATTACAGACCATGATACTGAGTTACCTTTTGCCTTATGGAAAGGAACTCGATCTTGTACTAGACACCATATACAGGATTATGTTTCATTTAGCAACTTGTCTTCAAAGTATCATGCATTTGTAAGTAAGCTTGATGGCAGCTCCACTGAACCTAAAACAATTCATGAAGCCCTTGCACAACCAGAGTGGAGAGGTGCTATTCAAGAAGAGATCAAGGCTCTATAAAAGAACAAGACTTGGGAACTAAGAGAACTTCCACTTGAAAAACATAAAGTGGGGTGCAAATGGGTATTCATTATAAAACACAATTCTGATGGAAGTGTGAATCGGTACAAAGCTCGTTTAGTGGCTAAAGGCTTTATTCAGTCCTACGGGATAGACTATCAGAGACATTCGCCCCAGTGGCTGAGCACAACACTATTCGGGTATTACTCTTTCTTGTTTCTAATCTTGATTGACCTCTCTATCAACTTGATGTAAAGAATGCATTTCTCAATAGTGATTTAGAAGAAGAGATATATGGAAGTCCCTCCAGCCTTGAGATCACATATGAATCTCACAAGGTGTGCAAACTCAGAAAGACACTTTATGGTCTAAAACAATCTCCGAGAGCTTGGTTTGACAGATTCACCAAAGTAGTCAAACATATAGGCTATGAGCAATGTCAGTCTGATCATACTTTGTTTGTCAAGAACAATGCCTCAGGTAAGAAAGCGATCCTAATTGTTTATGTTAATGATATCATTTTAACAGGTGATAACATAGAGAAAATTCAGGAACTCAAAATTTTTCTTGCCACGGAATTTGAGATAAAAGATCTTAGAGCACTCAGGTATTTTCTGGGAATAGAATTTGCTCGTTCTAGAAGAGGATATATGTGTCACAACGGAAATATTTTCTTGACCTATTGAAAGAAACAAGGATGCTTGGCTGTAATCCAGTAGAAACAGCCAAGGAAACGACTACAAAAGTTGGTTTTAAAACCAATAGTAAGCCAGTTGATAAAGAAAGATATTAGAAGCTTGTAGACAAACTTATTTATCTCGCTCATACTAAACTTGACATTAGGTTTGCTGTTAGTACTGTAAGTCAATTCATGAATCAACCTACTGATGATTATATGAATATAGTATATCAGATCCTAAGATACCTTAAGAAGACTTTAGGACAAGAACTATTTTTCTAGAAAACAATGAATAGGAATATTGAAATCTAAACAAATGCTGATTGAGTGGGTTCTGTAACTGACAGAAGATCTACATGTGGGTACTGTACTTATGTTTGGGAAAACTTAGTCACTTGGCGGAGTAAAAAACAATCTGTTGTATCACGAAGTAGTGCAGAAACTGAACTTCGATCACTTGCTCATGGAATATGTGAGGGGGTTTGGTTAAAAAGGATTCTAATAGAAACAAAATTCTCAGTTTCTACTCCCATGAAAGTATGGTACGATAATCAATCAACAATTAGTATAGTTAAAAATTCTGTACATCATGATCGAACTAAACATGTGGAGATAGATCGGCACTTCATCAGAAAGAAGATTGAAGATCAAACTATTACAATACTTCATGTTCCTACTAGTCAGCAAACTGCAGATATTTTAACAAAGGCACTTACAAAGGATCCTTCAACGAATTGATATCCAATCTAGACCTACTCAATATTTATGTAACCTAGATTGAGGGAGAGTAGAGAAATATTAGGAATAAGCTATATTTACTTTACTGTTTTCTGTTATTTTATTCTTGTTAGACAACTAAGTATTTGTAACAGAATGCTAGCTGTCATTTAATACAGAAATGTTGTTAATTTGTTTTGTTTTTTCTTTTTGTTTTGTCTATAAAATGAAGCACAAAACCATTGATGAAATAAGATGAAAAAAAGTTTTTCGTACTTTCAAAACCTTCAGTTTTATATTGTTGGAAAGTTTTGGGCTTAAATGTTCAACCCAAGATCTCAAATTGAGTTCTTGGGTTGAGAGGTCACTAAATGTCAAGCACTAAAATGAAGAGTTTTAGTGCAACAATTCCTTCTAAGATGTTTATTGACTGGATAAGTTTTGGGGAGTTCTTCTCGTCAACCTAAAATAACTTCAAAGTTATTACTTGAGATTGTAACGCTTAAGCTAAGCCTCATGTTTAATATTCCTAGGGGTCATTTGTAAATTTTTGAGAGGTAAAAAAAGAACCACAAGAATGCTAATCATGAAATGGTGCTGAACCACAGGAACCCAAGAGCTAATTTGATGGTTCTAGTTTTCATTCCATTTTTGTGAGGGACATAATATTCCAGTGGTACAACCTGTACCATTGCAGCAAATAATGCTGATGACTGATTTTCATTTCTTTTCCTTAAATGTTCGTCTCTTTTTCCTTTAAATTTCTAATCAAGTCTCAGTTTTAATGTCCATGTCAGTAAACATGTGTACAAGGGTAATATAATTTTAGGTTAAGTTACCATTTAGTCTCTAAACAACATTATTTATCTACTATCATAAAATGCTTTACTTTATGTTCAGATATTTTTTTTCTAAGTTCTACTTTGTTATTATCAGGGAAAGTACTGCGGCAGAGAAAGTGAAGGAAGCTCATCGGAGGGTAATGGTAGCAAACCATCCAGATGCAGGCGGAAGTCATTACCTTGCTTCAAAAATTAATGAAGCAAAAGATGTGCTGCTTGGGAGATCAAAAGGTAGTGGTTCTGCATTTTGATGGGATTAGATTTTGATCTCTCTGAAGACCTTCGAGCAAAGCTCTCTTGGATGGTTCTTTGTTTCCACTTCAGATTGGAGTTGTGCGGAAATGTCTGTATACAATTTTCTTTGAGCACTAAATTGACAGTCAGTATATTTATTGAATCAAGTAGTTAGGACTCAGATAGTTTCAGGCTGATATTTGTATAAATTCTTTGGCTTGTGTCCCTGTCTATGTCTGATCGGGTGAAGCTCGCTGCAACTCAGTTTTGGTGATACATTATGGTATTCATTTTACCCTATTGCCACTCTTTAGCTGGGATCTTTGGTGATTTTTCCCCCTCTACGGTTGTAATTTTCTGCTAAGGTCTGAGAGTAAATGACAGCTTTCTTCCATAAGAAAGTTAGTTTATTTGTGTGTTCAGAAATTCATTTACAAATTCTATCTTGTGTTTATTTAATTTTCGTAATGCTTTTAATTATTATATTTTTTTAATTGCATATTTATCTTGTTCTGCTTGTTACAAATACAAAACCTTCCAAAAAGATATAACTCCTTCAGCTTTAGGGATACACACGCCCGCGCGCACAAAAATAACTATCTACTAATATTTTTTTATCAATTCGAAATAAAATGGGAAAATTACAAAACTGGAAAATTGGGATGGTTTTCCATTTCCTCACAAGAACTTCAAGAAGAATTTTTAAACTAGTCCTAATAACCTTCTTCTTAGCAATGTAGAATCACGGAAGAAGAGAAGATTACGGATGAGGTAGAATATAAGTGGGAGGAATTAAGGAAGGGGGTTGTTGACACATGGGGTAGGAGTTGTGGTTTTTCAACCAATGGAAGACGGAGGTATTGTGGAAAATATGCCAATAGGGCATGTCAATTAGGTCTTTGGAGCCTGACATGTCGTCGAGGCAAATGGCGCAACAACCCACTTCACGGCCATCAATAGTCTTGCCCTCGACCCTTTTTTCTCTTCTCAACTTGTCCATCACCCATTATGAATCATCTTGATTGTGATCTTGCCCTTGATCTTGATGATGTTGATATTCTTGATCTTTGTGGTGTTGTTGATTAGAGGGATTTATAATCCAATTAGGGAGCCATTCGTCTATGCCCATGGGTCTCTCCGTTACTTTTTCAATACGATAAATCGACAACACCTCTGTGTCAACTAAATAAAAAAATTATTGCAGTAGAAGGAAGCAATGCAGAATGCATAAACGTAGATTTTGGATGCCATGAAATTGCATAAATCACTATCGCCATTCACACTGAATATTAAATTATCCACAATATACTGCAGACCAATATATTCAGAGAGGATATTAACAAGAACGTGAAGGAAGAAGATGATGGGTTCTCCAATTGGTTGGACATTGCAGACCATCTTCCGACCTTCAAGATCTCGCCTTACAGTTTGCTTGATGTTGGCGACTTGGATTTTGAGTGTTGCAATGTGATGGATATCCTATGACCATGTCCACCAATCTCCCCTCATCCTCATCTTCACATTTCTTAAACCCGTCTCCAAATCCATATTTGATAAAAACAAAGAGATAATCAGACTATAAAAAATCAAAACACTGAACATTTGAAATAAAAAAATAACCAGATTGCAAAGAATACAAGCACTGAACACTTGGAATCAAAGGTGGAATGTGTAGGAAACAGAGTTGAGGTTGTTATTATTTATTGAAGAGAACCTAATTTGGAAAACATAAAAATTATATTCGACCGTTAGAAGTTTAATTAATTAATTACAGACATCCAGCCAAAAATAAGAAAGTAGAATTTTGGACTGTTGGATAATGTTATATTAGATTATACATGGGCTTTCCTTGCTCGTCCCTGTTTTTTGTGTGATTTCTTATTTAATCTAATAATTAATTTTAATTGAAAATATTAAATGTATGATTGATTTATTTTTTTTTTTGAAATTTAAAATATAAACCTCAAAATTCTATCTCACTTCTTCGTTTCCTTCTCTCTCTCTCTCTCTCTCTTCCTCTCCCTATGTATCTCTCAATTTCTTGGTTTTTAACGCGCAAGCTCAACGTTCCTCCTTTTTTCCCTCGCCTTGGCGTGGTTTTCTGAAGAAGGGATGAAGACTCTCCACCCAAATACAACGTTTGGGAAGTCTCAACAGTCACAAAGCTATCTTTGTTTTTTACTGTTCAATTCCACTGGACGTTTAAATGAAAAATGATAATGTTTGTGTGTTATTTTTTACTCAAACCCTTCTAAAACGTAAAAAGAAACCTTTTTATTTTTATTAAAATTGGTTTTTCTTATATTGAAAATCATTTTTTTCATTAAATTTATTTTAGGATATTTTCTTCTTCTTCTTCGAATCACTCATTCAAAAATGAACAAAACTTATTTAAACTCCTCAAATCATCAATTCAAAAATAAGAAAAACTTATTTTAATTCTATATTTATACTCTTATAATACTATCAATCTCTCACATTTTCGGAGAAATTTGATCTCCTGAATTCAACGACATACCCATCATGCCATTGTAGACCGCATCCACCTCGATCCTCATCATACATCGTCGAATATGTCTTACAACCTCCATATGACAACCTTTTGATTTTGTCATGTTGATACATTGCACATCCGAGATGCGAATTAGATTGATCAATTATAAGAGGAGAATCCCCCACCAAGGTGACCATACTATGTTTCCTTCATGAAAGGCTATAAGAGGATGCATTTTTATTATAAATTTATTTACAAAGAAAGAGAAGAGAGGACCCAAACAAGCCCTTATGTGTTAAAAAATTCAAGGATTATTTCGAAGTAAAAAATACATTAACTAAAGTGAAATTTGGAGTATTTAGTTTGATGACTAAAATGTTAATTTTATCTAATTATTAATTTATTTGTATTATTTCATAGAATTGTGTATCAATATTAAGAGGTTAATTAGTTGTTTTCTTATTAAAATATTAATTATATTGTTAATAATATAATTATTAAAATGCAATAAATATAGAAATTATTTTCAAATTAGGTTATCATTTTTAGTATCCTAGGTAACCTTTCTAAATTAGGCTGCTATACTAGGGTGTTCAAAGAGTTTTAAAACATTATATAGTGTAAGTTGATTATATTATAAATTAATATTAATGTTGTGCAAAAGGTAGAAATTTACTGCATAAATAATTTTGAAACTTAATGGTTTTCAGACACCATAAATTTTGATTCTAGTGAATATGGAAGTAGAGAGGTATATACATATATGCTGCTTATTGCATATTTAAGTTAATTTCAAGTCATTGGTCAGTAGAGAAAATATGTGAGATTCTATGGAAAACAAGTATTATTAAGCCTTGGAATGAAATAATTGATTAGTAAAAGTGGGTTGTAACAATATGTATGCTTTGTTACTTGAAGATATTATTGTTATTATTACGATTAATATTATTTTCTTTTTCTAAAGTCCATCCCAAAATCCAAAATTTTAACCAACAAACCAACCCAGAGATGTAAATTGAAAAACCCAAAACCACAAAAAATTTAAAAGACCCAAGTCCACCAAATGCAACCCAAAGGCCTTCTCATTTAATGAGAGCCCTAAAACCCAAACCCACTCATGACCAATACCACTTGTTGGCACTTCCTCATCCCTTCTTCAAAAATAGATGTACAATTTAATATATAACATAATACAACGGTCCAAATTTTACTTTCTGACTGAATTTCTAAAATCAATTAAAATCAATTTAATTAAACTTCCAAACGGTAGAATATAATTTTCATGATTTCCCTTTCACTTTTGTAAGAACTTGATGAATCTGAAGCCGAATCTGATTTTGATGAGCTACCGCTCTTAGATCCATCTGATTCTGATTCTAATTCTGAAACTTGCTTCTGTTGTTGCAAGATGAGCCGTGGCATGATCTTCAAGTATTCTCATGGATTTTTTGTGATACCACCAAGTCCAATGGATGTGAGGAAGTTTATGGAAAATCTAGTGTTCTTGGGGTTATCCTTTGGGAGATTGATTCGAAAGAGTCTTGCATCATAGGA